CACAGCTGTTGTAGCTCCCTTGCCCCACCCACCATTTGGATAGTCCTTGGTGGTGTCCCAATTGATGCCCTCCTTTGTGAAAGCGGAGACATGCAAGTACTCAGAGTTTGCCTTTGCCCAGGCTTGAATGTGGTCGTTGAGATGTTCAAACCGTGTATCTATTCCACTACCATCGAAGTAGGTTGATGCTATGGCAAGAGCGTTTCCCATAAACAGCTTCCCAGCTCCCAAATGAAAGTTGTGCCATGGGTCAAATCTGTAGAGTTTTTCCAACTCACCTTCTGTGTGCAAATTTTTGGAGAATGGTGGAAGCTCCTTGAAAGGACTCTCCCTGCCGATTGTATCCAGCCATTCGGGCGTCTCGGAGCTCAGGTTTTCAAACGGGTATGGACCCTTGCCAGCTTCGCAAAGGTGACAAATACCCCTGCACCAAACTGGTTCACCGGTGTCCGCGCCAATGACCTTCGGGTAGCATGCAAAGTTGCGCTCCAGGCAGCCGGCTTTGGCCAAAAATGGCCAATCGCCAGAAACTCCAATGAGCATCATGTTGAACCGAGTCCCTTGAGTATCAGTCACACCTTCACGGGAAACAAAGTCTTGTTCATCGGCTGCAAAGGAAAGAAGGTCTCGCACAGCAGAATCATTCTTGGCATACTGGCTCTTCGGCAGAACCCCACACAAGTAGCGCGTTGTAAAAACATGCCCTTGATAGTTCAGCTTCATCTTCAAGTACTTATTTTTGATACCCAAAGACCGCCGCTTCTTCTGGCACTCCTGCAGACCTTTGCCTAGCAGGCTCCGCCATGAGCAAACGAAGAACTGGCTTTTCTTCCTTGTGCGACCCTCGTCCCCATGGAAGGCAATTGCACAAGTCCTAGCCAAAGAAATCTTCCCCTCGGCTTCCAGTTGGAAAGCTGGATGTAGTGGGTCATATTGACGGTACCTTTCACAGCGCTTTGGATCTGGCTGTGCCAAGCCCGTCAAAACGTGCCATAGGTTCCTCTGAAGGATGAACTCTAGCCAGTCCCTCAAACGCAAAGCCTGAAAGGACTTCTTTCCTTCAACTTCTCCATTGACTTTTGACAAGTCGATCGGTAATCGAAGCTTGTACTTGCTGAACTGTCGGTGAGCATCCCTCTCAGCATTCCGGTCACTTGAAGACGCCAGATTGAGGAGGCCTGGTGACCTCAACGAGGCCTTGACCCCGATGTCGCTCACAATGTTCTTGGCAGTGCTCACTGCTTGGTTGCATGGAGCCTCGGCGCCATTGAATCTAATTTCGCTCATTGACGGAGGGAACTTAAGAGGCACAAAAGAAACATTGTCAAGAAAACACTGGCTAAGCATGGCACACCTGAACCTATAGCGCCCGCAAAGCCACGCAGTATTTGACCAGGCGTTCCACCTGGCAAGTAAGCGAAACAAACTTGCAGCACATGCAGCAAAGGGTGCCAGTGTGAAACACTTGATGTTGTTTTCCTCAAGTCGCTCATCGACAGAATCTACAATCCCTAGGGCGACGGTGGCCAAACCACGCTGACGAACTCTAAAGTGTACACGTATACTAGAGAGAGGCATCAGGCCATCAAAACATCAAGCTAACAAGCATGGCTTTGGACAGAACACTCTTCAACTCTGCCTTTCAAGACGTGGCCTGGACCTGACGAATTGTGCATATCAACACCCATTGCTGTAGGTTTTCCCACAGCCTCTAAAGGTGTTTGAAACCCAAGACTCTCCAGCCCCCAAAAAGAAATTCACTTCTTAGTCTTCTTATTCGTTTTGCTTTTGGCTTTGGCTGCGGCAGATGAAGCATCCTTCCGTTTTTTGGAGGGGTCCTCAACACTGCCTGACCCTGGCTCACTCTCAGACTTCTTCTTGAAGAACTTTTTGCTTTGCCTGCAGGGCCGATCTAGAGCATGAGGTAGAACTACAGGTGGAAATATGTCAGCTTCAGACTTCAATCCTCAAGGTTTTGTTTGCTGAGAACCAGGCCGGATCTTTGCTTCGAGGGCAGCTGCCTTGCTGCACCTGAAGGCAACGGGGATGGGAAGATCTGTGGAGATTGGTTTTGGCAAATGAGTTTAGCACACGGCTGTGGAACTGCGCATTTTGGGCTCAGCCCTTTTCCAAAACCTGGGCGTTCACTTTGAAATGGGATTGATTGGAACGCCAAATGCACACATGCATCATGAAACCAATACAATGTTCAGTGAGAAACGCTTCGCCAAAGCCATCCAATCCACCATCAGACCAAATGTCATTGCAGGAGTCGTACTCCGTATCCAGCTTGGAGATATGGTGGTCGAGTTCCTTCAACGACCTTGGCCAACTGTAGGTCTAAAGCCCCACGACGCAAGCAACAGGCATGGTGGACCTAAGACTTGCACCCGGTAGTCTCAGAGCAAGCAAAAGTCTCTGAGATATTTTTCTTGAGTGCTCGAAGCTTCCCACTCTTTTGTAGAATGCTCTCCATGAACTTGTGAAAAGCATCTTTGTGAGCCTCCCCACTGGTTGCTTCATGCAATGTGTTTCTTAAAGAAGACTTTTTCAGATGATCGATGTTGGAATAAGCCTGCCTTGTCCTCAGCATTTGCGGTACCAACAGCTTTCTCGTTGTTCAACCTGGCTTCCATCTTTTCCAGGTTGGCAAATGCGCCATCTGGAATTTCTGGACTGGCAGACCCCTCCTGATCAGGCGTGAGGGGTTGGTGGGGAAGGTTGAAGTGGAAGCTACGGGGTTGCATCAAGAATACACCACATGTATACAGCATCGCCTTTGGTTGCTCACGCTTGCGGTCGATCTGCTCGTGACTTGTCTTTTCTTTGCGACTTCCGTGCTCCCGGATCTGGACCCAGTACTCCTTTTCACCATCATACTTGTTCAACCTGCCAATGTAATTTAGAACACGCTAGTCTAGTCTTAGTGACATTTAAAAAAGTCACAAAGGATGGCAAGCGCCCGCACCTTACCATGGTATCTGGATTCATCATGCAGACCCGAATGGCTCCAGCGATTCTTGACCTCAGGCGGTGGGCGCGTGACCATTTGGTATAGCATGCAACTCCACTTGAAGGATCTTGAAGGGTATGTTCTTGATCTTAAAGGGCAAACCATATATTATATTATATCACCATTGCTGTGTTCAGCCGAAATACTTGCACCACTTGAGATCATGTTCCATCTCATATTCACTGTACCACGCTTCATCGATGATCAGCTCTGTGGTTCGTTCGCGACGCACCAGTGTCTCTATGGATCGCAGAAAACTTTCCTGAATGAGCACGCTGGCAAATACAAGGGTTTGTTGGGCACTGCCGCGCCCTTTACAACCAAAACTCTTGAACATATGGAGGGAAACTACCATTGAACCCGGAAAGCAGCACAGCACGATAGCACAAGCAAACCCTACAAAACCATGGAGGTGATTGCAGGGCATGTGAAAAGGGTTTGCTTGCCTCAATTTGATGAATACTTTTCTAGGAACTCGGTCAAAGTTGACCTTGGCCAGCACTTGAGCCATCAAGTTCTTGGCATCGGGACCCTCGTTCCACTTAGCAACGACAGCCTCACTAACTCCCAAATCCTTTCTCTTCTTGTGTGGGGCGACCATCCTCCGGATTCGAGCCTTCGCAGCCAGATTCAATTTCTCCTGGCAGGCACGAGCAGCGACACAACCCCCCATTAAATGTTTCATTCAGATCCGTACGCCGCAGAGGCTCTCCTGGCGAGTGAACTGACGGCGAGGCTTCGCGGGAGGCAGTGCGGGTTGGGCTGGTGGAGAGGGGGTTTTCACCTCTTTCTCGGCTGGAGACAAAGAGTCACTCTGGCGATCATGGTGCATGGAACTATCAGGTGCCCCTGCAGCAGAAGTCCGGCATGGGGTTGGAATAGGCCTCTCCTTTCAGGCTCAACGGAAGTGAAATACAAGTCCATCATTTAAACTTATATAAATCGATCTCTATAAACTTCAAAAAGGAAAACCCTTTTGAACTAGACGTCCTCCACACGCTTGCTGGGTTCTTCTGCTGCTGTTTCCAGGTCAACAGACACATCAACATCCGAGTCCAAGTCAATGCACACTGCTCTAGGTTCCCCAAGACCTCCTGGAATTGGAAATGTGCTCGGATACCGTGCGCGGAGTTCCTCATCTGTGGCCTCAGTGTATAGCCATGAGCAACCACCAAACCGCTAGCCACGTGTCTAACTCAGCTAAGTACTGGAATGGTCTCCATGCTGGCAGTGCTAGGCCGAGGTCCAGCCTGAAGATGTTTTACAAACAAAACTGCTAGGCTGAGTGTGTTCATTCACAAGTACCTGGCCTCACAGGACATTTCCATCTCAATGTCCTTTCAATTTCAACAAACAGCATGAGCCAGTCGGACCAAAGGAAGGCTAGGCAGTCCTGAATTTCCCTTAAGAGTCTTTCTTCTTCTTGCTCCAGCTCGGTCTTTACTTCTCGAAAGCCATCGGCTAGGGTGGCACAGCTGGAAAGCAGACTTCCACCAGGAGCATGGGGTGTGTGACCAGCCATGACGGTCACTGGCAGGGCCGAAGGTAGTTCACTTACAAGCTCCGATCCCAAAAAACCCTGCAGGAGATTAGCTACCTTGAACAAGAACTTTGTTTTCTCAAGACTCCTATATATAAAAATGACTTGATGGCATGAAATCTGGTCGGACCTTTTCAGCATCGATCGGCATCGATCTTGCGAGCGTTCGATTTCGAACTGTTCCGGGCACCCCGATAAGCCAAAAAACCCATAAATCGTTTATGGGTTTTTACGGGTAAATTACGGGTTGTGTACGGGTTGCGTACGGGTTGGGAAAAACTGGGTTTTCTACCAGATTATGGGTTATTATGGGTTTTTTATGGGTTGTTTATGGGTTGATTATGGGTTTTCTCGATTCTGCAGTATCAGAATTGTATTTTTCTTTCGGGTCGGAAGAAAAACAGGTGGAGACACTCATGTTCGATCACAGGGAGCCCGGGCAACCCTTCAGATAGCATCGGGAATATGCGGTTCCCATTCCCGTGGCACGCGCAAGCCTTTCAGCTTGCGTAAATACTTGAATACATCTCCCAGCCGTGCGTGTGGCCATTGCTCAGGAGAGTCCTCCGGAAAGGTGAGAAAGGACTGCAGCGCTGGTGGGACCACTGGTGGAGGAGCAGGGCCAACAGGCTCAGAAATCAACCGAGCGTGTAGGTCAACCACCGCACGTGCGAACTTGATAGGGTAGATCCTCAAACATGGCACCACCACTGACACCACTGCGATTGGTATAAGGAAATCAATATATATATATATATATATAGCCACTAAAAAGTTGCCCATTTGATCCAAATTAGACTAGGAACTCGGTGGCGCGCAGCGTATTCTTTACACCTTGGTAACGAACCTTGTTGTTCTTGTCCCTGTATCGTCTCACCGTTTCCACGCGATTTGGGTGCTCCTCCTTAAACTTCTTCCATTGAAACTTGCCCTTGTCAAGGGATTTGACATGTCTGCTGGAAGACCAACAGTAATGCCGTTTCGGTGTGCCTCCACCATAGTGCCCCATCCACCACCCCACTCGGTGCACCTAGCTGAAGCCAGGAAGCTGATTGCTGTTACTATTAAAATCTATTTGCTTCAAACATCGAATATGTGAATGCTTCGCATCCCTTCAAAGCATCAAATGTATTCATTCAACCTAGTGGCTTTGTTCAGGTTTCCGCCAGCTACGATGTGGCAGTTTAGCATGTAACGGAAAGCAGGATAGAACTCCATCACCGACAATCCTGGCTGCTCCAAACACCAGACTCCTCCTTTGGACATGGTGAGAAGACAAAGCAAGCAGCTCCTCCAGGGAACCCAAATGAAGTGTTTCTTTTCTATGGGGCTCCGTTTTGGGGGCGAGTGCCTTGCTAAATTTGTTAGGACATGTTCAAAACATGTCTCACATGTGGACCCAATCCTCTCACAAAGCTGGTTTCCTTCCACCACCGATCGAAGCTGTAGGTTCCCCACGCTACAGCACGCAGAACGCCCCGATGTTCCCCTATTCATCGGTCCCCATGAAGAGCATTTGGTGGCAAGCAGGACAACGAAGCCCACGTCCGACCTGCCTTTCAAGATCCAGATGCAGGCCAGCCTGAGACACAGGACAGTCGCGAGATGTTGGGCAACAGGCATGTGAAGAAAAGCTTGTGCACGAGGGAAAAATTGGGAACAACCAAACAATGCAGTATATAGAAGAAGAACAGAAATCCACTGGAGTGAAGAATGTTCATGAAGTCAGACTTGTGGGATTTCTTCTTACCAGCTTCGTAGAGAACATCAAACTTGGCCGACTTCAAATGTGAATAGCGAGCCATCTTGGTAGTGTTGGCAACACCTGCAAATAGCTCTATGAAGTCCATGTCCTGCAAGCAGAGTCCCTAGCATGCGAACAAACACGTGCATAAAAAACACACGACCAATTCAAGCTCCTCTTGGTCCAGCTTGAATTGGTCCGACACACAGTGGAGCAGGAACACTATAAGCGCCAGGGCCTGCAACAAAGGTTTTCAAACCCTCAATTGACTCAATTGTGGACGCTATTATACTAAATTAGCTTTGACCTGGCCTTCGGAGCACCCATTTTCCGAAGACGCCACATCAAAAGATCCAAACACACCATGGATCCCAACCAAAGGGAAAGGGGCCCTTCGCTCGAGCTTGAGATGGCTACCTGACGCTACCCTTCATACATGGCAGTCGTGCTCATGAACGCCATACATGCCTTTGATGCACAGTTGAGAGCTCAAACAAATTAAGACATGCCAGAAACTCCTTTCTTTCTTTGGACCGACTTCTTCAGAAGATCGATCCGTACTCTCCAGCGCTCCCCACGAGTCTTGCCAGCAGGATGACCTCAAAGCACGGATAGGCAACACATGTATTTAATGCTAGCTCATAGATATATATTAAATATACTTTTGCTCGGCAGGTTTATCTATATATGAGCTTCAACACATGGCCGACAAACTCTGAGACTGCGCAAGCAGCTCCTTTTTCCTTTGCGACCAGTTGGGACATCTAAGGTTTTCTTGGCGGGAGGGGTGGCTTTCAATCACCATCTAGCCTCCACTTGAACCACTCTCCAAAATACCCGGAGTACAGGACTGACACCCTGACCCACACGGACTTGGCAATCAACAATGTACTTCACCCTTAATTCTGCACATGCAATTTTGGTCTTAGGTCACGCAGTCACTCCGAAATCCCCTGAAAGCATTTAGCTTTCATTCAGCATCGAAAAACACCCTATTCAACATCTTCAGGGACTTGAGCCAGCTCTTCCAGAGCCTGTGCCGCCTGATCTTTCAATTCTTCAAATTTTTCGGTCACACGGTCACTGTCCGGGGTGATGCTCTCATTCTCCCAGTTGCAAGCCTCAAAGAAGATTGCCTTGGTTCATTCACAATCATACACACAAACACACATGCATGGCATGTATCTCACACTATTGGTTGAGCATGATATGGCCATATTGTTTGAACAGGGTACCGTCAGCTCCGCACAGCGGATGGATACGAGAAGCTTGTATCTGTCTGGTACAGCCACTTCCATGGTGGTGAAGTTGAAATGACCAAAGTCCTTCCTTTGCGTGCCGTTTCTTGCGGGTAAGGTGATCCCACAAGTGTGCTTCGTCCAATAGATGTTGAGTTTGCACCACCATAGTGGTTGCTGAGAATCCCTGACCAGCAACTTAAGCTCATCCAGGGGTGTCTCCAGCGGGAACCATAAAGCATAATCCATCAGCTGCTGTTTTGTGTCTTCCTGTTCAGCTATGTGCGGTGCTGGACCACTGCGTTGCCGTTTTGTTGGCCTGCTTGCCCTGCCCGGTTCATTTCCTGCAGACGCTGCACTGCTCCTAGTTGCCTTCGCTTTCGCCTTGTTTTTGGGGGCAGGCTTGGTTTTGGCTGCTGTGCATTTGGCTTTCGGTCCTGCCTTTGCCTTCCCCTTCGCTTTAGCTTGTTGTTTAGGCTTTGGCTTTGCAGCCGCCTTCACTGCCGCCTTCTCCGCCTTCTTGGTAGCACGTTTCTTTGGGCTTACGCTCAACAGTTCTAGGCGGCGACGAGAAGCACCTTTTGCCTTTGCCCTCTTCCCCTTTCTTCCCTTCTTTCCTCCCCCTCCTTTACCAGCCTTCCTCTCCTTCGGGCGCTTGGCCTGCTTGAGACGCATTTGCTGCTCCCTCCTCAAGACAAAGTCATCCAATATGTGGTGCTCCTGCAAACAAGAATGAACACATGGGTTCGAGCTATAAAAAAATATACACATGCAGCAGCATACGCCCCCCACCCATGCCCATTCAATCCTTCGGAGATTCAGTCTGAGCAGGATCCTGTGGGACATCCTTGCCAACCTCCTTGGCGACCTCCTCCTCAGGTGTTTCACCTCCTCCCTCAGCGCTCACTCCATCGAAGCGCTGCGTCAAAGACCCGGGTGGTACACCTTGATAGCGGCGCCGCCTTTCACTTGCTGAAGTGGGTGGAGATATGGTAGGAGGTGGCAAAGATGGTGGAACAGCAGCTGCCATAATGCTAGTCAACGGTTGGGTCTCAGAATAGTCATGGCCATATGGAAGAGACTCATGAACAGCTATCGTCCGTGGTCCTGCATCCCCCAAGAGCACTTTGAAAGATGAATGCCTACTCCCTTTTTGCTTTCACATGATAGGTCTCAGCAACGCTCATGGCACGCACACACACAACTAATGGAACAACAAGGCTCCTTCAGTTGGTGCAGCAGGCTCCTCTGGTTCTACCACTGGTTTTAGATCAGCTGCAGCCTGGGCAAGGATCTCGTTCTTCTTTTGCCTGAACCTTATAGTACGGGCGCGGGGTGACCTAGAGACCTCTTAACCTGCATGAATAGAATGCTTAAGGATACCACTGTTCCAAAGCCAATCGCGCTCTTGCCAGCCGGCCTACAAGCCAACAAAAATTAACACGCATGCGCATGTTTGCATATATATTGACTAAGTTTTGTGGAATGTAAAACAATGGCCTTCCACATCGCCCTCAGTTGCGGCAGGCTTTGTTGGAACGCTTGGCTCCGATGGAGGAGGACAATTGGGAGGCTCCTGGGTCGGTGATTTGAAAAGGGATGCCAAGGGATGCCCTAGTTTCTGCACAATACTCACTTGTTGCTCCTGCGGTGGTGGTGCAGGTTCACGGTTCGGGGCATTATCGTCAACAAGATCCGCTTCATCATATGCATCTTCCTCTTCGGGCTCCTACACACCCACGGGAAAGGAAGGTAGATACAGCAAATCAACTGACATATTTGGTTCTTTAATGAGAATGAAATAAGAATGAATGGCCTCCACACTGTCGCGGCTGCCCCTTGCAGCACGCTCTTTGCGTCGCGCTTCAACCCTTGAATTCACTTGATCCGCTGTTTCCTGCAATCTCAACTCGAGAGCATAGTTAAGTTTGCATGTTGGCATACGCTGCACTACTGATGGTTGACAACATTCCAGTAAAATTTTGTCCTTCAAGTTCGGTGCAAGGGTCAACACCATGTCTTGAAAAGACGTGTCCTTGGGAGCAGGGAGAAAAAGGTAGGAACCCCTATGTGTTCATGCCCACGCACTCAAACTTTATTAATGCTGCTTTGTCTCAGTGCTCACGTCAGCCTTTCTGATCTTGAGTTTGATAAGGCCCAGAAGTTTTCTCACCTGCCACGAATCTCCCTGGACCTCCCACGAAGCACGGTCATGCTTGTTCATGGTGTAAACCTCTTTGATGGATTCTCTCAAGTGTTCTATCTCAGGCATTTTCTTCTCCTCATTGACAGCCATCCTTTGTAAAAGTGGCATCAGGAGTGGCTTAGCTTCCACTGCCTTTTTTATGTTAATGTCACCGCTGGCCACCAGCGGATGTCCTTCCCGAAGACGTTCTCGAATCTCCGCCACCGAGTCCCACTCGCAGGCTAGGCCAGAGAGGTCCGTTTTCACAGCCATGGCCCAACCCAACCCCACTGACTTGATTCACAAAAGTCTGCGGGGTACATCGCTCAACTCGCTGCAGGACCCTTGGACATTGAGCTCCGCAGCTGACCGCTCTCACCAGGGTTCCGGACGAAAATGAGCAACCATGTTCCATGTGCGGGAGCAGGGGCAGCGCCCATGAGGATGGTGCAAAGACCAAAGATAAAAGCAGTCGTGAGATGTTTTGAGCACAAAACTTCAGACATCCTAGGATGCTATAGAATATGATCAACAAAACAAAAGTATGCCTTGCAATTTTTCCTTCTCACCGCCATGTGTTGAGCGACTCTAAGGCAGCGAATCAATGACCTCACATGCAATGTGCAAAAACCGGGTTTTCCCAGTGGGAACCGGGATATTCTTTGACCAGTGCTTCAAAGACGATCTTTCAGATTGCACCCGCTTTTTTTTAGGACTTAGAAGGTCCTGGTAGTCAAAAAGGAGCTCTGTCTGTATATTCTGTATGTTTGTTGTTCGACACTTATGCTGCTTTGAGGGTGTCAACACTTGCAAGCTGCTGCTTTCGCACATGCAATACAATC